CTCTCTCTCTGACTCGACTCGCTCTGCCTCACTCTCTCTCCTCTCTCTCTCTCTCTAACCTTGATCGTCACCTTGGATACACGCGCTTTGGTAGCTTATACACCTTGGCAGCTTTGACCGCTGTCCTCCTGTTCCACCGCTAGCCTAGCTATGGAGTATCTCTCAAGCGCCCTCTTCTTCTTCGGGCTCACAGTGCCCAAGTTGCCTTAACGCACAAGCAGCATCACCGCTTCAGCATCTCGCAACTCAACAAGTGATCAGCCGCTGCACTGTAGCAGCTAAATATAGGATTTGGCTTTGCTTGGCTTGCTTCACACCGGTACCGGTACCGGTCTGCTGCAAACATTTTGTTGGTCCGGTAGTTTCCGGACTGTCCTGGGACATGCTGCAAAATTGGACTTGGGACTGTCGGACCGGACTGGATGCTTCTCGACTTTTCTTGTCGGGTACCGGACGGACTACTACCGACCCTACGACGCTTCGGTACCAACAGACCTACGACGCTTCGGCCTACCCTACAGGACGACCCTGGGACGTGGGACTTGTCAGGACCCTGGGACCGGGATTGCGTGTCTGCAGCGTGAATCCTTCTGGGGGCAAACTCCAGATGTGTGTTAATACCGTGGACTAAAACGAATCACGAGAAAGAACCTACAAATTGACGACCTGCTAGACATTGCAGTTGGGTGCAAGGTCTTCTCCAAGATCAACCTCAAGTCCGGTTATCGCCAAATAGAAGTTGATCCGGTTGACCAGCACAAAACTGCGTTCAAAACGTGTGATGGGCTGTACGAGTTCATCATCCCCTTCGGTCTTACGAACCTCTGACATTTCGAAGTCTCATGGATTGCGGGCTAAAAAATCAGATTAACAGATTTATTTTTGTGTACCTTGATGATATTCTGATTTTTAGTAAAAGCATGGATAAACACTTGAAGCATCTTGAGGAAGTGGTGCAGATTCTGGAAGAGGCACAAATGCACCAAAATTGTGAGAAATCTGAGTTTGGGAGAGAATGTCATCTATCTTGGGCACCAGTTGTCTGCTGCAGGCCTTGAGCCTGAGGCAACCAAGGTTGAGGTCATCCACACGACACTTCAAAGTCTCACGGATCGAGTGCTAAAAAATCAGAGTAACAGATTTAAAGTTGTGTCCCTTGATGATATTCTGATTTTTAGTAAAAGCATGGATAAAACACTTGTATCTTGAGGAAGTGGTGCAGATTCTGGAAGAGGCACAAATGCACCAAAATTGAGAGAAATCTGAGTATGGGAGAGACAATGTCGTCTTATTTTGGGCACCAGTTGTCTGCTGCAGGCCTTGAGCCTGAGGCAACCAAGGTTGAGGTCATCCGCAATTGGCCTCAACCACTGAACCTACGCGTGAAGGTACTAGTGGTTTAACAAGAAATCCACCAAGTGATTAGGTACTAGTGGTTTAACAAGAAATCGACCAAGGGATTAGGTCGTGTGTTCATACTCCACTATTGCGCATTCATTCGTCGGACTTGATCTTCCCCTTTTTCTCGGACTTCCTCTTTTCCTTTTTCATTCAACTTTTATCTGACCACTAACTATTGTGTATTCATTTGTTGAACTTACTTCGTCTTCCTTTTCCTTCCATTTTTAGCTAACCACTTCTTCCTTTTCCTTCCATATTTATCTGACCGCTTACTAAAAGAGCCATGTCAATGTTTACGAAACTGTCTTGAAACCTCTACCTTTGAACGGCTTTGCTTTCTCAAATCAATAATCAATTACATGGTGAATTGCCAGGCCTTCCGAGCTTGCAGGCCCAACCACTCAGCACACTTGTCCTATCTTTCCTATATAACAGGCTTCAGCTACTTCACTCATTCTGTCAGAATCGTCAGCAGCGTCTTACAATGATAACTGAGATGAGATTCCTGATGGGAAATGAGATTACACAACAAAATGGAAATACCTCATAGCTGAGGACATTAGTGAATTTCAATTAAAGCCAAATAATTGGAACATGATGAGGTAGGTCAGTCCAAGATCAAAACATAGTTAACAGTGGACATTTCATCAAACTGGCATACACTACCTCTCATCAGGAAGACTCAAACTGGTCCCCACCACAGGAGGTCCACAGTAAGCATTTCCGTAAGCTGATGGCGTTACAGAGACAGGTGGTGCAGGAGCCATCGGGAATAAGAATGGCGTCTGTTGTCCCAATCCCTGCAATTTACAAAACAACATGACATGCCAGGCATCACATTTTGAACCCCTCAGTGAGAATGCCGCATGGTCCACAAGGCAGATGTAAACTGGCAGCCATATTCGTACTGGTTGTAGTCTTGTGTACCTCTCTCTTTCCCTCTCTACCTGATTACGTCACGATTTGAATGCTAAGCTGTTGATTAACAGTTCTACAAGTTACAATGCGGTGACAGGTATGTCGGCAAGCTGCTGACAGTTTACAACCTTCAGTGCACTTTGAGTGATATTGCCTCTACAGTAGAAAGAACTAGAAGACAATGCATACCAGCCGCACAGACAATCCTGTTCAGCTCTGAATACAGGGAGCAATGTCACCATCTGCCACTGAGCTCAACAAGAGAGCACATGAGACTGTGCCCATTTGAGAGGAAGCAGGCGGAGTCACAGCGGTGCAGAAATATGAAACCAAGGCCATACACCAGGCAAAAATCACAGCAATGAGGCAACACAGTGCTTCCCAAACGAACTACATGACCACTGCCATCATGCACCGCCTAGTACCCGACATCATTGCCTAGTGGCTGCCGCCACCATCTTTCCCAAAAAATACTGCTGAAGGTTCAAGCTGTGTTTGCACTCCAAATCACATGCCGCCTTCTGCGTGGCACGAACACCTCAGGGGTCAGCAAGCTCAGCTGGGTGTAAGTGACATGGAAGTGCTCTTATATCTCAAGTTGTGAAATCCAACACCAAGTGACTACAGAGGGGGAAGATGAAGGCCAACTTAATTGTCAGCAGAGCAGAGGCGGATACACAAGACTGGTTAGATTCTCCTGTATTCTCTCCACACCTCTGTCTCCTGATTGTCTCACCCGATGGTACATGTAAGTAACAACGCAATCTGCCGATCTGCTCACTCCAGTCACCTCGGCCTGCCAATGCAACATCCTGTTCACCCACCCAATCAGTCTTTTTCAAACGCTCACCTCCGATTGCATTGTTTTTCACATTGATCCCTTCTTTTGCAACATCAACTAGTTCCCCCTGACATCAGTAACCCCACACAAATTGGTCACTGTGGCAAATACTCCGAAAAGCCCCACACCATCGAAGCTCACCTAACGCTTCTCCTTCCCCCTTTCCCTCCCCTTGATCAGTACACTTCGCACTGAATCGGAAGCAGCGTGCGGAGGATTTCACAGGCTTGAGTTGGCCCCGGAGTCTGCTAATTTAGGGACGTCAACCCTAAAGTTATCACGCCAGTAGACCTGAGGGTTACGCGACCCTCAAACCAACAGGCATCGTCCTGTTCGGGGTTTGGTCAGCCCTAATTGGCTGACCACCGCGTACTCATCGAGTGTCACTCCCAAGAAGGAGTGTATCTTCATCATCGCCGGATTCTGCATGTGGGAGAAAATTCCAGCAGTTTCTGATGGACAGGTTTCATTGAAGACCGATTGGAAGTTTCAATGATAATTTCAGTTTGGCCGCTGACTTGCAGAAGTCAGTCGGGCTTTTGATTTGGCTATGCCGCCGCGAATTCCAAATTGATTTCAATCTAGAAACAAATTTCAAGGGGGAAAATTGATTCTATTTATAGATAGTTTTATATTTCAACTCTTAAATCCTATTGCACTTACAGTAATCAGTTAAAGGTTGACCAGCGCTGCAACTACAGTCAAAAATATTCCGCGTGAGTTCGTTCCGGATTCCTACCTACTCTGGCGTCACGGTGTGTCAGACCGATGGGTCTGCGGATAGGTCATTAAATTGTGTAACTGTGGCAGAGTATGAACGAAAGTTGAAGGGGAAAGCACCTGCGTAGAAGCATCTCAGCAGACTTTTGAAGCGAAGGGGGATGGAATGCGAGGATTGAGCCCTCGCAAGGCCCCTTCTCAGGCATGCAAATGATCTATGCTCAGGCCCCCAGCAAGCCTCATGCCCGCCCCAAGTGAAGGCGGGCCTGTACAACCACAAGAGGCCTATTTTCAACATTTTTCGTATGTAGGGTACCAGTTAGTTAGAGCACGCCAGTTAGTTACAGAACAACATGAGCCTTCCCTGGCTCCTTCCAGAAGCAGCAGCAGCGTCGTACAGTTGAGCCCAGGGCTCGTTCGGTTGAGGCCCTGGGCACACACATCCAGAGCCCGACATGTCACATATCGACCGCGGACCAATGAGAAAGCATCTCCTGCGCCACACACATGCCATGAGCCAATGAGAACGTGCTGAACACTTGGAGCCTCGTGGGCTACCTGGACGTGCCTCACTGCACGGGGCCCAAGCCAGTATCTGAAGCTGGGCCTGGAGGCAGATACTTTGGGCCATCCTGAAGCTACTGGCCCCCTACACGCCAGGCCCAGGGCAGAGAGAAGCAGGCTCACTTTCCATAAAGGAAAGTGAGCGCCCAGGGGCATGACATTCTGGCCTGCCGAGGCATTGCAGCCATGCTGCTGCTGTGTCGTGTGAGCGCTGTTTAGCGCTGGCAGGCTGGGGCGCACACGGGCGCTTAGAGGTGAGAGGGCGCTGCCGTGGCAGCGGGCGCACGGCGCCATAGCCGGGCTGCGTGTGCGGTGGCAGGTGACGGCAATGATGGTCTTCAGGTAGGAGGCGCATGCAGTGGAGGAGACAGGGTGTGACGAGGGGAGGAGAGAGAGACACGTACCTGGCGTATGCTGGCAGTCTGCATTGGTGGTGACGTCACGTACATTGGTCTTCAACGTCGATGTGATCTCGTTGCATGAACGTAGATAGGCTAGATAGGCTGAGTAGTGTAGGCTGGGCGCTGGGCGCCAATCAGTAGAAGCGACATTGGATACTATGTTGGTGAGGCCAGAGAGCGTTGGCATTGACATTTGAGTTCATTGTATTGCTCTTACTTGGATGGTATCTTGGTGCATTGTGCTCTTTGTCGACGTGATCTTGTTGCATGAACATAGATAGGCTAGATAGGCTGAGTAGTGTAGGCTGGGCGCTGGGCGCCAATCAGTACCAGCGACATTGGATACTATGTTGGTGAGGCCAGAGAGCGTCGGTATTGACATTTGAGTTCATTGTATTGCTCTTACTTGGATGGTATCTTGGTGCATTGTGCTCTCCGCTTCGTACATGACTATCTGGACTACAGCGTGATTTTGCAATTTGAATTTCTGTCTACCGCTCACTCATATTCCTTGCAATTTGGTATCGGAGCTGGTTCGATATTGCCATTACCGGCGCTAGCGACTTTGTTGCCTGGTGAGCTGAAGAAGCTTCTACGCACTGAGGATACATTGGCACTCGCATGATTAGCCACTCCTGGGTAGAGGGGAGCGTGGCTGGAAGGCTGTGGCCACAGCATGGGAGCTGTGGCAACAGTGGATGTATGTGGAATGATAAGAGCATGCTGACATTGCATTTTGGCTGAGGTGACACTCCATTGCATTGTGGGTGGTACCGAAGCTATGACCGGTCATCAAAATGCACGTCGGCTCCATTCGTGAGAAATCTGTGGTTGGGGGCAGCTATCTTCAGGTACGTTGTTCCCTTACCTTATCTTCCCATCTCAATTTCTTCTTACCGTGAGGAAGAGAATTTGACTTGAGTACTCTACTGGTTCACGAGGCGTGAGCGCGCAACCTTGAGAGTCGACATTCTTCCTGGTGGCGCATCCGGCAGGAGAGGGCGGTGCCTCTGAAGGGCCCTGGTCGAAGCACGAGTCACGGTCACCATGCCAACCCATTTGAGTATGCTTTGCTGCTTTGTCCTTTGAGCTTTTGCTGCGCTACAGAGGGGATCATGGACTGGCCAGTTCTATGTGAGACACGAACTAAACCGTCTATAAAGAACATTTGGTGGGGATATGACACTGCTGCTTGATGATGCAACCACGGTCGCCGGATACAGGGGAGGGAAGGTTACAATTGGTGCTCAAATACAAACATTATTATTTCCATTTCTGCATACATCTGCGCATGTGATTTATTTTTATTTTTGATTAGTTGAGGTGTGACCGACTGCTAACACCTAGCAGATAGCATTAGAGTAGAATTGTAGTAGTCTACCATTTCCCGTTCCGTTTGATGTTTCTGAGCGTGAACTAATCGAGGTAGGGGTAGATCATTTGGACAGTCTGTGTATATTTTGTTGACACCACTTGATCGGTAGCCTCCTGAGTACCTATGATAGTAACCACATCTGCGAGCATGTGATGTTTCGACATAAAATCACGCCCTTGTAAATGAGCAAAACCAGGTGCTCGAATTTTACAACGATAAGGACGATTGGTTCCGTTGCTAACTAAATATACACCAAATTCTCCTTTGGGTGCTTCTACACAGGTGTACGTAGAAGAAGCTGGCTCAGACACACCCTCCGTGTAAAGCTTAAAGTGATGAATTAAGGATTCCATGGATATATATATAGTCACATAACTATGAACTAAAAGAGCGCACTTTGCAAAACAAAGGGCAAAAAAAAAAAAAAAAAAARAAAAACAWGAAGGGCACAGTGAAACCATTCATTTTACTCATTCTTCTTTTGACTCCCCTTTCACCGTGCCTCTCACGTACAATGCTCGCCACGTTGATGAAGTTGAGCGCGAGCTGCCCACATCCCCGTGTGCCATAACAGCCCACTTGTACGCTATGAGAAAGAGGCAGAGTGAAGGGGGAGGGGATAAACACAGGGAGGAGAGATGGAGAGCAGACAAACAAAGAACGATTAAGGGAAAGTAAGGGAAAGTATGGAGTGTGGAGTGAAGATGAAGGCAAAAGAGGATAAGAAAAGGCTCAAGAATGAGTCTGTCCTTGACGACAGAGAGGACATATATTGTAAGGATGACGTGGATGAACACATGGAAGACCTAGCTGAGCATTCTCAATGCAACAAATGCCACGACGGGTGGCATTGAGCATGCCCGCCATAGCCCCCGACAAATGGCATGCCGATTGCAGGCCAAAATAAAAGAAGAACGGTCACCACAAAAGAGCATGCTTTCAGTATAGCGCCCATGGCCGCAAAATGGACATACAGTGTCC